AATCATGCATACAACTTATTCTTTTTTTTTTTAAAGATTTTATTTATTCATTCATGAGAGATAGAGAGAGAGAGGCAGAGGCAGAGGGAGAAGCAGGCTCCCCACGGAGCAGGGAGCCCGATGCGGGACTCGATCCCAGGACCCTGGGATCATGACCTGAGCTGAAGGCAGACGCTTAACCGACTGAGCCACCCAGGCGTTCCCATACAACTTATTCTTGATTCATTAAAAAAAATACATACGCAAACATATATGGGCATAAAATAGTGCCAATGGTGCAAATGTCAGCAAATAACAATAGGAGATCTGAGGAAAAGGTAGAGGGGTGCTCTTTTGGTTTTCTATTTTTGCAAGTTTCTAAAATTATGTCCAAATGAAAAGTTTAAAGAAAGAATCCTACTATGGTTGTAAACATATACTATTCTTTACAGCTTTATAAAGATTTAATAATTTGGCAATGGCTTCAGAACTTGTAATACTGAACCAAAATGACAGGACTGGTATAAGACAGTAATATTATCACCTCACATGAAAATCCTGCCATTCAATTTAATATTAAAAGCTTTGGAAGCTACTATCATGCTAGTTTTAAATATACATGTAGTTGTACATATATATTTGATATGGAAAAGATCCTCAAAATATACTAAATGAAAACAGGTCACAAAATAGTACATATAATTTAATCCTGTTTTTGTTTAAAAATTACATATATAAAGGTCTGCAAAGATACAAATATTCACAGTGGTTACTTTGGAAGACAGAATATAGATGATTATGCTTTTTTCCTTTTGGCTTATCTAGATTTTCTAATTCTATTTCCTGCCACAAACATGTATTATTTAAGTAACAGAGAAAATATAATTGAGTAAAAATGAAAACAAACGTCGAAGAAATACTGCAATTAACAATCCCTGCTTCTACCTAAAATGACAAACTGACTACACTATCAAAGTGTAATTTTTACTGTTACAACAGGAATGGTAGAGTTTAATTTTTTTTCTTTAGATTTAGACTCTGACCCCCAGATAAAATATTGAAAAACCAAATGCTTGGTTTGCTTTTAAAATTAAGAACAGGGAACATTAATACAAACTATGCTAACAAGTATGCTTTAGTTCCAGTATTAGCCCCAATCTGAGTGATAAGAGATGGAGAAGCAAGATTAACAGGAAAAAAGAGAGGGAGCCTGCTGAGAGAAGAAAAGACCCAGAGCAGACGTTAAAAGGAAAAGAGAAAATGCCTATTAAACCCCTGAGGGCTGGCCATCCCAGGTCCCCTGTGGGAATGCATCTCCCACAAGTACAGCTGGGCCATATCATCTTTGTTCCAGTTGGATCTGGGAGCTGAGAGCAAATCTTTCCCTGTTTATAATGCCATTGACTTATACACTGGAAAGTGGTTAAAATGGTAAATTTTATGTTATGTATATTTTAACACACACACACACACACACACACACACACACCTCTGTTCAGACTGAGGAAGAAAGTTAGAAAACAAAGAAGACTCTGAGTTCCTTAAATAGATAGAGATCACCATCAGTGAGGGGGAAAGAAGCCAAAAGGGGAGGCTGGGAGGAAGGTGACAGATCTGAGCCTTTCTGTTTTGAATGAGAGGAAGGAAGGAAGGGAGCTTGGAAGACACGGGTGACATGGTGGTGACAGAAGGGTTACCTTGCTGGGGTAGGCAGGGTAAAGAACGGAGGCTGGAAATATGAAACACCAACCTAACAGTTCTTATTTATCTTCAACTGAACAGGGTGAGGAGGAAGAGGGGAGGAGGGGGAGGAAGCCAGAAGATCTCTCATATGCGCTTCTCATGCACAAGTAACTGACTTGCTGTCAAGCTCTATGAGGCTCAGGAACATTGCTTGTTATGACTGGGTTGTTGTTTTTTTGTTTCGTTTTGTTTCTCACCATGTTTATTGAGCACCTATAGTGTTCTAAGCACTGTGTTAGGTGCTGGAAGCATACTGTTTTTAGTATGACTTATTTGGAAAAAACAAATTGACTTCAGTTCAATGGAACTTCAATTTGGTAAGATTAAAACCTCAAACTGTGTATGAGCAGGGTCTAGATTTCTCAATAAGGGTCTGAACTTTCCAAATGCATGAAAATGTACACTTGTTTCGAGGAGATATTCCTTTAAAAAAATTTTTTTTAAGGTACTGGCACAGACTACAGAGGCTTACTGGTTCCATCTCTTCCTGAATGACTAGGAGTTTTCTTTAGACTCCCATTTCAGGCTTTATAAGAAGAGTATTTGCCCTAACACACAAGGTTGTTGGAAGGAATAAACAAGTTAATGTTAGCCAATGTACTGTATATATTACAAAGTATCATAAAAATGTTACCATATCATTAATAATAAACATATCGATATCATGCACTTCAGAAAAGCAGTAAATTGGGCATAAGGGCATTCTTACCATGAAACAGTTTCACCAAAAGTTTATTTCATGTATATGCTTCTACCATACTCAGAGCTTTGTCAGGGCTCAGGTCCTCTTAGATCCCTAAGATGCTTTTATCTTACTAATAGGGACAAACTACCAGACTAAAGAAATAATGAGCACATAATGAGAAAAAGAGACCACTACAATTACTGAAAATACAGGGATCAAATACATAGAAGATGTAGGTGCAGCAGGGGCTATGATGGAAACAAGGTGACTTGCAAGCATGTAAAGAAAAGAGGGAATATGGTCCTAAAATGGAGCACTTCAGATGATTACAATGCTTATTCATTCAGTGTTAAAAATGCTAAGAATAAACAAGCTTCCCAAGACTCTTTCTATCTAGCAAATATGACAGAATATAGAATGATAAAATTAACTTAATTCAACTATAATATACCTTTTGTTTTCTAAATAATATCATATTCTTGTAACTCATATGGGAAAAAAGTCATCCTCTGAAGGAGCTGTTACATGTATGATCATCATACAGGTGTACTTCCCAGGTATTCCTTCTCCAAGAAAAATGTGTCTGGGTCAAATGTAGATCCTCAGAAATTAAAATAAAACTTTTCCTATTCACCAAATAATTATGACCCATCATCCAAATCACTTAAAGGAATGCTTCCAGAATTTTAAAGTTACTTACAATATCATAAATGTCTCGGTCATCCTCATCAGCTAGGGTCAACAGTGCTACCAATGGATAGCGAGATCTGGGCACTGTACCAAAGTCTTCAATTTTAGTATCTCTTGGTAACTGGCAATATATTTCTTCTTTGCTGTCCTTTTTAATACTTTTTGAAAATGTAAAGGTAAATTGCCACTATAACCCAAAATACAGTAATACCAAAGGTGATCAATAATAATGGAGCAAATACTTTATTTTATCCATAAAAAAGTCTAAAGTCTAAAATTTTCATTGGTTAATGGATATATCAGATAAAAGGATACAAATACTGTTCTTGATAGAGGTATTCACTGTACAGAGCATCTTCCAGGGCTTGGGGAGTGCTTATTCGGAAGCAATAAAAGTGCTTCTGCAGAGCTTCATATAATTTTTGAACACTGCACCCCCAGTAGCATGTCAGGAGGCTATCTTCAAGGCAATCTGTTGTCAAAGTTATGCCAGCTGTAGAAAACAAAGAAGAAAAGAAGACAAAGAGAAGAAAATTACCTAATGTAATTTCTCATACAATTATACACAGTGAATAACAAAAGCTTCCTTTTGGAGGCTGGCCCGGCTGATGCCAGTTAAAGGAACTCATTAAAGGGCACGTGCCTGTAAATGAAGGAACTGGTCCCTAAACAAGTGATAGAAAACCCTCAACATCTACACAATTTTGAAGCACTATCAGTAAACTCTTATTATTTATACATTTACACTTGGAAATTATCAAGTTAGTTTTTTGTGTGTGATTTCGAGACTTCTCCCACATAGAGTTTAAAAACTGAAATACAGTTCACTATTGATAACCTACTGCTCTAATAGCATATATAATCCTAACTACAAGAAATAGTAGAGCTGTCTCCAAAAGTGGATATACGCAACCTTGTAACTGTAAGAAACAGAGCAGGACTGTCTCTGAAAGTGGATACACATAACTAATGGGGTCCACAAGATGATCACTGGAGTAGAAAAAATATGAAAAAGAAATCAAGCCTTACTAATATTAATATACACATTGACAGCATTAATATATACTCCTGTCACACAGTTAATGTCCCACATAATGTGCAAAACATCCTAAGGAAAGAGCAGGGATTCCAAAACGTGAAGGGCTTAATAGCAATGCCCTCATTCATTTATTTGCTTTCAGCATAATAAAACATATTATAATTTGAGTAAACCTGATTAAGTGGAAAAATAAATTGTAAGTGGACATACAAATTATATTGTTTTACCTATTTATTAAACACTCACTTTGGACATACTACTAGCATCCATATGATTTTTCCCCTTGCTCATAGCAGTTGTAGCAATATTAAGTTCAAGGGCAGCAATATCTAGGGTCTTATACTGTTGGCAGTGGAAACTGTAGCCTCTGGTGCTCAGTGGCAGTGGTGGACTTGCAAGACCAAAAGTACATGGTCTGGGTCATTGTTCCTGGCGAACAGCCTTGGTCTCTGATTCTGGGTCTCCAAACCTTTATTGGCAATTCTGTAAGTTACCCAGTATCCTTTGACTGGAGTCATTTCTGTTAACTTGCTAATAGGAATTCTGATGGATAGATTATGTAGTTTTAAAAAGGTGATCAATGGGGTAGCTGGGTGGCCCAATCAGCTGGGTGTCTGACTCTTGATTTCAGCTCAGGTCACGATCTCAGGGTTGTGGGATGGAGCCCTGAATCGGGCTCTGCACTCAGTGGGCAGTCTGCTTGAGATTCTCTCCCTCTCCCTCTGCCACTGCCCACCGCACTCACTCTCTCTGTAAAATAAATAAATAAATCTTTTAAAAAATATATAAATCATCCCTTTACAAAAATAAAATAAAAAGGTGATCAAGAGTATGTGTTGGAAGGATATACGCAAACACAAGCAGATGCTCTACAGGATACCAAAAATTCAGTTTCTTACTTTTCTTCCCCGTAATTAGTAGTATGTGCATAGAGTTTCAGATTTGGAGTCTGCGTAATAGCAGCAACATAGGATAATTTCCAATCATAGTTAAGCAAAACTTTTAATCGGCAGGAACATTGCATAGGTAATTGGGACAGAATTTGATTTCAAAGTTTTATATGATTCCAATCATCAGATATTATTCAAGAATGGGAAATTTAATAAGCTATTATTTTTCAGTTAGCTATTAAATAGCCAAAGAAAACCACTCCGTCAATACAAATTTAAATATATATTTATATACATTTAATATACAATTGTTATATTAATTTATACATTATATATTAAAACATGTATCAATGTCATGTTCATATATACTATTTATATTATGTTACATAACAATGTTTATATATTTAAAGTTAATATCTATATTAAAAATCATACATCCTTTTCTCTATGAACCATACAACATGAGGTAAGGAAAAAAGCTGACGTAGATACGAAAGGGAGAAATAGAAAAGGCATATAAAAGAAAGTGGAAAAAGAAAAAAAGGAACCCAGAAAACGATTTCTTAATATTCTTGGCAGAAATGTGTAAATGTGAAAAGATGTTATGTATGGAGCTCTAGTTATATCAAAATGCTGGAATCCATCCAAATGTCCAACAATAGGGGATTAAATGAATAAAATATGGAATATTCCATAATGAAGTATTATGGAGCTCTTAAAAAAGAACTGAGGCATGGCAAAATACCTGCACATACTACTTTGAAATGATCTTCAGAATATATACAAATGAAAAACGCAAGATGGAGGCAAGTATACAGCATACTCCCGTTTATCTCACAGGAGAGGATATCCATATCTAGGTGTTTGTTTACACTAAAAAAGACCCATGGAAGGATAAGCCCTAAAACATGTAAAACTACCCAGTTTATTTGCTTTGTAAAACACATCAGAGTTCCAGAGATTCAGAGCTGCATGAAAGGTTTGTTTACAGACTGCATATACGTGACTGAAGTGGGGAGCGTGTCAAAGACTACTGACAACTGGATACTAATCAGACTTCAACAGAGTATGCCACTGAAATTAATATTATAAGTTAATGAGAAGGGAGAATACAATCAATAAATTCTACTCTCCACAATCTCTCCTACACTTGTCCATGCCACAGACTGAGAAGAGAATGTGTTGATTTACACTGATGACAGTACAAATCCCCCAGGCAAAACTGTTCTCCCTTTGGATCTTCCTACTTCTTCTGCAGACAGTTCTCATTCTTACATTTTCTCAGTCTTCTAAAATTCAGTGCAAACACAATGCCATCTCAGATTGAGAGCAATAGCAGACTTGGAACACAGCCTTAAACCAGAAAAGTCAGAATGGAAGCTAACTGAAGCAGCATGGGGGTGATTTCCCTCAACCTGCCCTTACGTGCTTTGCTGTAACAGCCAAATGAAGCCCCCCATAAGAGACAGCCTTGCAAAAAATTGCAAAAAATAAGGATTACAGTCAATGAGTTGAGCCATTAAAAAAAGGAGACACAATGGGGCTGACAAGCCACAAACTTTTTTTTTTTTAAGATTTTATTTATTTATTTGAGAGAGAATGAGATAGAGAGAGAGAGCATGAGAGGGGGGAGGGTCAGAGGGAGAAGCAGACTCCCTGCTGAGCAGGGAGCCCGATGTGGGACTCGATCCCGGGACTCCAGGATCATGATCTGAGCCGAAGGCAGTCGCTTAACCAACTGAGCCACCCAGGCGCCCCAGCCACAAACTTTCTTGAGGAGAATCCCTGAGAAAGAAGAACTAATGTACAAGGTGATCATGCATGAGGATAATAAATCTAGAATATTGGGAGATGAAAATTTTACGTTGTAGAGAATAGAGGTTCACAAATTCCCCTGAAAATGCTATGTGTGTCATTTTGTCTAACCCTTTTACCTTTGTGAGGTCTCACCAGGGTGAATAAGCCAAAATATAAGGAAGCTGTTACAAAGGGACTGGAGAATTTCTGAACCAGTTGAATTAAACTCAACTAGCACATCCTGAGTACCTCCTTTCAATTCATTAGAGCCTTTTACACTGGGGACATGGAAACATCATAAATCCAAATCCGGTATCACCACATAACAACAAAAGAAATCCCAACAAGCCACCCATAGTAAAGAGAACTAAATGACTAAGATTAAAACTGATTCTCTTGCTCATTTTCAAGTAAATCAGGTCTTTAGATATTTCCCTTCCCTCCTTACATGCCAGGCACCTTGGGTACGGTGGTGAAAAAAGACCTGGATTTTTAAACTATCTACACATCAAATGAGATAACCTTTCAAAATGTCACAATTAGTGCTTAGAATATTATTTAAATGTCCTGGTTAGACATTTTTAATGATATCCACTGTTCCACAGTTTAAACAAATGAATTTTATTCTGCCAAATATAATTCCCACCAAAATCCTTCTCCTTATTTACCCAAAGAAGATAATGAATGATAGGCACTGGTATTTATTTTATTTTTTTAAAGATTTTATTTATTTGAGAGAGAGAGAGAGAAAGTATGGGGGGGAGGGCAGAGGAAGAGGGAAAAGCAGACTCCCCACTGAGCAGGGAGCCCAACTTGGGGCTTGATTCCAGGACCCCGAGATCATGACCTGAGCCGAAGGTAGATGCCTAACCGACTGAGCCACCCAGGCGCCCAGCACTTGTATTTTAAAAATTAAAATACTTCAGGGCGCCTGGGTGGTTCAGTTGGTTAAGCGACTGCCTTCGGCTCAGGTCATGATCCTGGAGTCCCGGGATCGAGTCCCGCATCGGGCTCCTTGCTCAGCGGGGGGTCTGCTTCTCCCTCTGCCCTCTTCCCTCTCGTGCTCTCTGTCTCTCATTCTCTCTCAAATAAATAAATAAAATCTTAAAAAAAAAAATTAAAATACTTCAATAAGCATGCTATAAATCCATACATTTAAAAAAATTTTTGTGTACTTTGGTAATGCTGCATGAAAGTTGCTTGGCAGCTGAGAGGTCTTCTATTTACTGGATATATTTTCATTTGCTTAGAACATTTACAAGGATGCAAGGGGGGCAATTTTTGATACTATTTCTGCCTGAAAGGAAGACTGGTGGATTTCCTCACACTTTCTAGCTCACAAGTATCCTGTGTTTGCTCACAATTTTTCTGTTTTTCAGCATTTCCCGGCTTGTGGAACTATGTAGCAGGAAGGACACTTTTGTATTGGCGGCTTTTTGTATTGGCAGTCCTACTCAAGACCCCAATGTGACATGGCAGAAGGTCCAAGACCTGACCACAGAGGTCAGAGGTCACTAAACTACCATTGTTCTGTACATTTTAATTAGGCATGTTTTCTAAACAGGTTAATTTTCTCTGTCCTATCTTGAAATTTGGTCTTCCCAAGTGAAAAATGTCAGAATGAACCCCTTATCTACCATTAGAGGGGAAAAAAAGAGGTCCTTAGTTCTCTTCAATTCATAGGGTGATAGTATAGCATTTACAGCTAAGGAAGAATAAGAAACTTTGTACTTCTTCATTATGAATTAGTATTTACTTAAGGTTGATAATCCCTATTGACTAAGTACACTGATTTTTTTTAAAAGATTTTATTTATTTATTTACTTATTTATTTACTTGTTTATTTATAGAGCGCATGTCAGCAGGAGGAAGGGCAGAGGGAAAGAGAGAAAGAAAGAACCTCTAGCAGACTCCATGCTGAGCACAGAACCCAACTCAAGGGCTCGATCTCACAACTCTGAGATGATGACCTGAGCCGAAATCAAGAGTCGAACATTTAACCAACTGAGCCACCCAGGTACCCCAGTACACTGATTTTTGACATGTGATTCTGGAAGTTAGAGACAGGAAGATGACTATACAAGAAGGGTCACAGAAGCCTAGGGAGCAGCGTATCAAGAAGGAAGGATTGGTCAACTCTGTTAAACTCTGCAGAGATAATGTTAACTCAGGCCTACAAAGTGTGCACTGGATTTTATGACTGCTGGGGGTCAGGGTTGGGGCAGAAGTGATGATCAGTGACCTGGGGGAAAACCATTTCAGTAGAGGGATATAGGCAAAAGTCAGACTGCACTGATCTGAGGAGTGAAAGTAGAGCAGGCTAAGGGAAGAAGGCAAATGCAACCTGCTTTTGAGAAGCATGGCTGTGAAGGGAAGAGAAAGAGGGCAGTAGTTACAATAAGATAAAAAGTTGAGAAAGTTTGGGATTGTTTTTAAGATCCCAGGAATCTGAGCACATGTAAAAGGTGATAGGGTCTCAGCCCAGAAATCTTTGTAAAGCCATGGAGCTGTACCTAGAACTGCCCACTCCAAAGTCCAGAAGTTCAAAACTGAAGTCATTACCTTTCTTCCAGAACCTGCTGCTCCTCCCGTATTCTTTATCCTGGTAGGAGGATCTGTCTGTGGAGAGCCCCTGCAAAGAACCTTCTCCCACTCTTCTCTCTTACCTGTCCCACCCTGTGTTTTATCCACAACAAATCACTATTGTTTCTCTACTGCATTATTCTGTTTCTATATCAGTGCTTTGTTCATGCTTCTCCCTCTACCTAAAATATCTCCCAAGCCCATGAGATAAACACCTACTTATCTTTCAAGACTCTACTCAAAAATAAATAAATAAATAAATAAGATAGACTCAGCACATTCTTCAATGAAGCTTTTCCTGAATATGCCTCCCCACCTCAGCAAACTTAAACCATTTCTTTCTTTCTCTCTTTCTTTCTTCCCGTCCTTCTTTCCTCCCTCCCTCTCTTTCTTTCACTCCAGTGGTTCCTAGATAGTCTTGCAGACAATTTATTTTTCCAAGTAAGTGCAGAAACAAACAACTATTATCTATTATTACCATCTGCCAAAATAACATCTTATACCAAAATAACTTATACCCAAAATACCATAATTTCAGATTAAAAACACTTGTTCTTGAGAAGGTTAGCAACCTTCCAGTAACTGTTTATGCTATACGATCCATACATTTCTCACTGCACTTAAGACCCATGAAAATGGCAGTGTCCTAACAAACTTCTTATTCTTTTATTTTTTTTTAAAGATTTTTTATTTATTTGACAGAGAGAGCACAAGCAGAGGGAGAGAGAGGGAGAAGTAGGTTCCCTGCTGAGCAAGGAGCCCAATGTGGGATTCGATCCCAGGACCCTGGGATCATGACCTGGGCCGAAGGCAGCTGCTTAACCGACTGAGCCACCCAGGCGTCCCGCAAACTTCTCTTATTAACAGTTAAGATACTTTATTCTTCTCACACGAATGCCTCTGTTTGTTAGTTGATAAATTCCTGAGGAGCAAGTTTGGTGAATTATTAGTCTTTATATCTGTAGTACAAAGTACTACATAGTACAGCTCCCAGAATAAAATAGGTGCTCAATAAATACTTGTTAATTCTAATGAAGAGAAAGCATATAGAAAGAAAAATGCTAAGAAAGGGGCACAGAAAGAAAATGATCTTTGGAAAATAGCCACCAACTTGTAATTGAAGCTGAAGATGGATTAGTGATCTCTAAGCCAAAAGGATTCTTGACTTGTCTCATTTGCTTTTTGAAAACTCTTGTGTTGAACTGGGTTTCTTCTGAATTTCTCAAAATTACTGGAACATCCCAACCAAACCTGAAGAAAAATAAAAATAAAATAATACATAATTCTATCAAATACTGAAACTTTATGTGAAGTATGTTGTGCTTCATTAGTTATTCCTTTTAACATATGCACCACAACAAGAGATCAATTTATTCAGTTTACATTACATTACGGAATTAATCTAGAGTTGAGAGATTAGAGGCCCTATACAATTGCAATATATCGTTCAGCTGGCTGAATTGACATACTCCTGAAAATAAAGAGTTCTATTGTTAATATTATTGCTGATAACAAAGTAGTGCAGTCATTACAGAAATTGTACAAACAGCAAAAATATGAGAATTATTCAATTTTTAAATTGATATAAAAAACAAATTCATATTTAATATGTAGACTATTTGATATTATTTATGGAACAGGAGAACTTTTTTTTAAATTAATTTTATTTTATTATGTTAGTCACCGTACATTACATCATTAGTTTTTGATGTAGTGTTCCATGATACACCCAGTGCTGGAACAGGATAACTTTTAAACACCAAATACAGCACTTCATTTTTTTTTTTAATTTTTTTTTTTATTTATTTGAGAGAGAGAGAATGAGAGAGAGAGAGAGCATGAGGGGGGAGGGTCAGAGGGAGAAGCAGACTCCTCGCTGAGCAAGGAGCCCGATGCAGGACTCGATCCCGGGACTCCAGGATCATGACCTGAGCTGAAGGCAGTCGCTTAACCGACTGAGCCACCCAGGCGCCCCTACAGCACTTCATTTATATAACATATTTTCTACTTTTAAATTTCATGTAAAACTGTGAAAATGCACATTGAACAGATGAGAAGGAAAATGAAAGGGACCAAACTCAATTTCTTATCAAATTAGAAAGCAGCTAAGTTCACTCAATTAAAAAAAGTAACTTAAAATGAATACACATTAGTTAAATGAGGGGACTTTAGGTTAAGATGGCATTCATACTCTGATGCACTCTCTTCTCTCCAGACACTTAGTAGTGATGGATAAAAAATAAACAGAGAAATCAAAAAAGACCACACTGAAATGAGCAAACAAACTGTGGTGTGTTGAAACAAAGGAATAGTAGTATTCAGCAATGAAAAGGAATAAATTATTGCTACAGCCACATGGATAAATCTCAAAAACAACATGCTGAGCAAAAGAAGTCTTACACAAAGGAGTACAACGCTATATGATTCTGTAATATAAAATTCGAAAGCAGGCAAAACTAATCCATAGTAGAAATAAAAAAACAGGGCAATGGTTGCTTCTGTGGGGTGGAGGGGTATGGACTGACCAGGAAAGAGCATGAGAAAACTTTCTCTGGTGATGGTAATATTGTACATCTTGAGAAGAGGTTTGAGTATAGATGATGTGTTTGATAACACTGAAGACTTGTATATTTCATTGTGTGTAAATATTACTTCAAAAGAAAAAAAGGAACTATAAACAAAAACAAATGTTGACGGACACCTAGGTGGCTCAGTCGGTTAAACATCCGACTCTTGGTTTCGGCTCAAGTTATGATCTCAGGGTCGTGAGATTGAGCTCCACATCAGGCTCTCTCTCCCTCTGCCCTGCCCCCCTTTTCCTCTCCCTCCCCTCCAAAAAACAAAACAAAACAAAAAAACCCAAATGTTGAGCTCCAGTTAATAATATGTAATGCTTTAGTGTATATGGGAAGAGTAACAACTTACTTTGAAGTGATCAAGAAATAAGACAGACAAATACGTAATAAAGACTCTATAGCAAAATACTGATTGTAGAACCTAAGTGATGGGCATAATATGTTCATTGTATAATTTTTTCAAGTTTTCTGTATGTTTGAAAATTTTAATAATAAAACGTTGTAAAAAAAAAGAGACATAGTGGGTTCAAAGACAAATCATTATGGTTCTGAAAAGGGAAAGAAATATAAAGTAATGAGTAAGGCTGATGCCATGGTTTGATGGGTTCTGAGTCTGGCAGCAGGCAGTGGCAAGTAAGCCTCCCCATAGTAAAAGGACCTTATAGGTTGTCCACTCAAAACAAGAGCCAGAGCGAGTTTCATAATTTGAATCCAGGAACTGGGTTAGGCCAATATCAATATGGAACAGAACTGTCATTGTAATACCTGGTCCTTGACTGGGGAGCATCTAGGAATTGGGTTGGAGACAACTGTAAAATGGTTAAACAGCAAGGGTGATGACAAAGGGTAGGGAAGAAAACTTTTACTAAAATTTAGGTTGCAAACCAAAATTTCAAAACACATGAATAAATCTAATACAAAGAGAAGGCCAATAAAAGTAACACATGGAATAAAGTTACACTCTAGATGAATTTAATTTTATGGAACAGTTAGATAAGGCTGTTCTGGTTCTGCTTAAGAAAGCCAAAAAGCAAGCCTCTAACAGATCAAACTGTTTCCAAGTAAGTTAACTGTATCCCAAAACAAAGCTCAAGAATATATATATATGAATACAAAAATATCCAGCACCCTAAAGTAAAATTCACAGTGTTTAGCATCCAATAAAAAATTAACAGCCATGCAAAGAAGAAAATATGACTCATTATGAGGAGAGAAACTAATCAAAAGAAATGGACCCTAGAAATGACATGGATCCTAGAACTAGTAGACAAGAACATCAAAATAATTGTTATAACTACTCCATATTTTCAAAAAGGTAAGTAAAGATTGAGCATACTATATGGAGACATGGAAGATATTTAAAAAGACCCAAATCCATTTCTGAAGATGAAAAGATACATTTGAGATGAAAAATACACTGGATGAGATTAATAGCTGACTTAACATTACAGAACAAAAGATTAGTATATTTGAAGACTTATCAACAGAAAGGATCCAATATGAAACACAGAAAGGGAAAAAAAGGCTGGACAAAAATACCTCAAAACGTCAGTGAGCTGAAGGACAACTTCATGCAGTTTGCAGAGAAGGGGCAGAGACGTACAAGAAAACTACAGATGCCTATCACTCAGGAACATAGATGCAAAACTTAACAAAATTAACAGATGAAATCCAACAATATATTAAAAGGCTAATACATCATGACCTAGTGATGGCTTAGCATAACATTAAAAATTTAATGTAATTCACCATATTAACAGACTGAAAAAGAAAAACCATATGATCATCTCAATACATGCAGAAAAACCACTTGCTAAAATCCAATGTCTAGTCCTGATAAAAACTGTCAGCCAACTAGGAATGTAAAGGAACTTAACCTGGTAAAGGACAGCAATAAATATGTAGAGCTAACATCATACTTTAGGAAAAACTGCTTTCCTCCTAAAATCAGGAACAAGACACTTAATAGCTATGTGTCCTCAAGCAATTGCTCAACCTCTGTGTAACAGGTTTCCGGACGGGAACAGGGCTTGGCACTACATAAGTGCTAGCAATGATAATGCTGATCATGGAGTAGACATAGGGGGTGGCAGAAGAGCTAGAGAGAACAAATCCAGTAATTTCTCCTTTTTGAACCTCAGAATCAGTTACCCCGCAGCTTCTGTATCCACGGCCCAACATTGCCCCAGTGCCTTTTAGCGGTTAGGTCAGGAATGTGAAATGGTAGGACACATGATACAATCTTTTTTTTTTTTTAAGATTTTATTTATTTATTTGACAGAGAAAGACACAGCGAGAGAGGGAACACAAACGGGGAGTGGGAGAGGGAGAAGCAGACTCCCTGCCGAGCAGGGAGCCCGATGCGGGACTCGATCCCGGGACTCCAGGATCATGACCTGAGCCGAAGGCAGTCGCTTAACCAACTGAGCCACCCAGGCGCCCACACATGATACAATCTTCCCACGAGAGCCATAAGATAACACCTTCTTCTTCTTTCCTTCATCCCGTGGAGTGAAAAAAACAAAGCGAGAAAACACCATTCTGTGCTATACATACTCATTCTATTTCCTGGCCCCTTCATCATTTTAATTCTCCCTACCATCCCCTACCCCTTTTTCTTTCTTTACCCCCACCGCCTGGCTCCTTACACCCACATTACCAGCAGTAAACACTGGAATCAGAGCTCATTGTGTTCAGTTCTACTGTAGGTTTAAGCATTATATTTCAGATACTTTATCATGTTGTACCTAAAAATTTCAATTAAAGAATCTTTAAAGGTGTAGGAGCCAGAAACCCAAAAAGCAGGGCTTTGAAGAAATATCTGGAAGCAGCCTGTTGTGAGCACGGAATTCCTTTACAATATGCTTTATTTATTGTGTGTCAACTATACTTCAATAAATAAATTTTCAAGAAATATTTTTTCTTTATTTATTCCATGATATATCTGGTTTTAATATAAAAAGTATTATTTCTCCAAATCTTTATATAAAATCAGTGTTGTAGGAAGATATGCCATATCTGTTCTGTGGTTTTGAATACACCTCAGAATGGAACAAATAATTTGAGATATAAAGTTTTGCTTCTTTTTAAACATGCTTATCCAAGGCTGCTTGGCCCAGCATCATATCAAGAGCTGCCAAAACACACCTATTATTAAAAGAAACTCATCTCCCTAGATTTTTTTATTTCTCTGCCTCATGCTTACTCTTGGGTCTGCATTTTCAAATAGCCTCACGTCCTTGATTTGAGTCAAATACATCTTTTAAAATTGGTATTATGGATCATTCTAAACCCTTGGCCTTTTTATGCTATACAACCTTTTTACCATGAAGGATAACATACAGAAAAGTACACAAAACATAGTTCAATGAATTAGAAAGTAATTGGTATTCGGGTTAAGAACCCAAACAATATTCTCAGAAAGTCTCTTGTGTCGCCTTTCCTGTCCACTATCTTGACTTCAATTACTGTAATTTAGTGTACTTGTTTCTGAATTGTTATATAAGTGGAAGGATGCTGTGTATACTTTTATTTCCTGTTTTACAGCTTTATGCTTGCAGATTCATCCATGCAGCTATACTTAGCACATTTTTGTGGCTGTATAGTATTTTATTGTACAATAAATGTGCTGTAACTTGCTTACACGTTCTACTCTTAACGGACATTTAACTTGTC